ACCCCTCCTTGAGTTTCTGAGGCAGTATCACTACAGAAGTAGATTGCCCAATCTTACTTCTGAGGAATGGCTGGTGGTTTTGAACCACCAGCCTTCTGGTTAGCAGTCAAGCACCTTAGGCACTACACTACCAGAGCTCCACTAGAACTCCTTTAAACATCAGCCAGGATAAATTTAAAAAAAAAAAAAATCAATCCTGGGTACATCAGAGTAGACCTGCTGAATAACAAAGATAAGAAAAAAATCACAAAAACAAGAAAAAAATTATTTCCAGAGGAGAAAAAGTAAGACTGGCTGCTGAAAATAATGAAGTTAGAAGGCAACATAGTAATATCTTCAAAGGACTTAGAAAACATAACTGCTAGCCTAGAATACTTTATCCAGTAAAAAATATTCTTCAAAAATGAAGGTTAAATAAGGACAGTTAAAAAAAAAGTTTGTTCTTGTTGTTGTGTACCAATGAGTCAATACCAACTCATAGCAACCCTGTAGAACAGAGTAGAACTGCCCCATAGGGCAATAATAGGCTGTAATCTTTACAGGGGCAGATTGCCAGGTCTTTCTCCCACGGAGCTACTGGATGGGTTCTAACCATCAACCTTCCGGTTAGCTGCTCAGTACGTAACCACTGAGCCAACAGTGCTTCTAACTAGAGAATGCTGAGGGCTCATTCAGGACATTCCTGAAACTTGTACAGGAACATGTCTGCCTCTCAGGAAACAGATCAAAACATGGGGCAGCCAGTGAGTGGTTATCTGTCTTGATTCATTCTCTTCCACATCATTCTCTCATCTTTAATTACAACCAGCACCAAAGCCACTCACTCTGACAACGCATTTCCCCAACAAGCCACTTTAAATCTTCTCCACATCTGACAACAGGGTCTCCAAGAAGAGAATATCCTTCATTGCAAGTATAAACTATGTTTTTCCCGACAGGAAACTTGGTACCTTCATCCTAAGCAAAAATAAAAGATGGAGAGAAGTATATGTGCCTATTTTGCATTAATAAAATGTTTCTTTAGATATATTTTGCCTGGAAAGTGCACTTTTTCAAATCATCAGGTAATGTACATTCAAATAACTGATTTAGAAAATTGTCTATAAAAACATTTTCCCCTGTTTCATCCTAGTCAACTCCATCAACACCACCATAAATGAAATAAGGTCATTAATGGCACTATACTATAATTTATTGATTGCTTTCAAAATACCAAGCACTGTGTTATGCATTTTACTGAAGTTATTTTAATAGACAATGCCCACATAATTTCTTTCACTTGTATTTTTAGGTAAAAATAGTTTGTTATCAGTTTTTGGAAGTACATTAAAGTGTTAGAGGTTATTCATTAGCAATAAACTAAAAAAAAAAAAAAAACAGAAAAACTTGCTGTCAAGTTGACTCTAACTCAGGGCCACCCCCGTGTCAGAGTAGAACAGTGCTCCATGGGTTTCCAGTGGCTAAGATTTCAGAATTTCAAAAGTAGATCAGAGAACCCTCATCCAAGGCCCTGTGATTGAACTTCAACTGTCAACCTTCCAGTTAGCAGCTTTGCCCTGGCTAGTAAATGACAGTACAGACAGTCAGGAATATTCAAATCCTATCAACATGTTCATAAAAGTTTCTCATTGAAAAAATGTCTAGGGGAAGCATAGTGTTTGTCTTCTCCCACCTTACCCTCCATCTCCTCACCAGTAAGGGAAGTACTGCTGGGGTTGGTCAGATTCGAGGATATTTCATTAGCCGGTACTGCCAGGAGGAGCTCTGGTAGCATAGTGCCTAAGGCATTTGACTGCTAACCAGAAGGCTGGTGGTTCATACCCACCAGCCACTCCTCAGAAGGAAGGTTGGGCAATCTACTTCGGTAGTGATACCGCCTCGGAAACCCAAGGAGGGGTCGCTATGAGTCGGGTCTGACTCGACGGCAAATAACAACAACAACATAGTGCCAGGAGGTGAAGCAAAGAAGAATCTGAAACCTGAGCTTGTGAAGGGGTCATCATGCTTACTGGGGTCTTTCCTGGCTCCTTTCTTTATCCATGTGGTTCTCTTCCATCCAAAATGATAGGGAAGAAACTCACACCTGGGGAGGGCTTGGATCTGGTACCTACACCAACTCTGCTCTAGGCAATAGCACAAATTCTCTAGGCAGCTTTTCTCACTCTCAGTGTTACTCCTGGTCCAGCCTGGCTGCTCCATTCATGTGAGTGGTAAGAAACTGAGGGCCCAGGTTCGTGCTGAGGTTTGCGAAAAACAGGGCAAAGAAAAACACTGGGTATGCTTTGGTTTTAGCCCTAGATCTTCCTTAACTTCTCAGAAGAGATTTTCATATCGGGAAGTCTAAGGCATCAGTGTCCAAACTTGGCTTTAGGAACCACTTGTAACAATTTAATAAAATACACATTCCCAGAGCTTCTAATTCAGAAATGGAGGACAAGGGGCAGGTATCAGTCTCTATTTTTAAGTTCTCCAGGTGAATTATATGTAACCAGTCTATGGGGCTGTGTTTGGAACTCATGACTCCTTACAGGGCATTGGATGCACTAGAATTTGGTACCACAGCTTCATGGTTTGCTAAAACATATGTGTTTGCTTGGTCTCATTCTCTGAGCTTAAGTTTCCCTCAGGAACATCAGAACCTTGCTCAGGAACGCAGTTCCTTCGTGGATCGTGGTGACTGTAGTGAAGCCATATGAAGGTTAGAGATGTTAGGTTAATTTCCCCTCTCTCCCCTCTTCCCCCTTCTTCTCACCCTACACATGTGCATACCACTTCCCTCTCCTAGTAAGACCTACATGTGTGGAAACTGCAGCAGACTCCTAGTGAGTGGTTCAAGGACCTGGAATTTGGGGAGAGGGAGGAAGTCCTTCATGGAGAAAGCAAAGCTGGCAGCATTGAGAGAGTCCTGGTAACAATATCCACTCTGTGAGGCGTGAAGAGACTTCACTGGGCTTTGGTGCGAAAGCCAAGGAGTGAAGGAGTGAGGCCAGCACTAATTAGTATGGTCCTAAAGCCAGAAAATCCCCAAGTGACAACTGGCAAGTGATTCGTGTTCCTTCCCGAAAAATGAAATTGCTCAAAGTACAATGAACCATATCTCAGCAGACACTGATTAAATGTGAGATGGCTCCAGGAATAAAATTAATACTTCATCCCAAGTGTTTATATTTATGGGGGGAAAGGGCCTCTTTCCATAGCAAGAAGAAGAAAAGTTCTCTAAATTAAAGAACTTGCTTTTAGATTCCTATTTTAATGCATAGAGTGGAAATGTTTAGTAACCTTCTGGCATGATTACATTCCTAACTCACTGGACAGCAATATTGATTTCTCTTACCACAGACGATATACTGCCTTCTGAGGGATTGTAATCACCTTGGGCACAAGAAGAAAAGTCACAAACTAAAACCCTCACCTCTAAGAGTAAAATGCTCCCATAAAATACTTCTAGCATTGTTGCACCATGGAAAAAGGAAATAGATTATGGCATCAGTAGAGAGATGGAATTTGGAGCAAAGAGTACATGTAAAGGAAAACAAAAAGTATCTTTCATAACCAACTTGAACAAATCCGTCTTTCAAGGCAGGAGGTGATGGACAGAACTCTGTTGGAACCAAAGACAAAGGAAAACAATGTGGTTCAAGTAATCTGAAAGGAAACAGAAACAAAACATGTAATTAATGGGATTGCTTTTCACAGTTTGATAAATATTTTGCACTACAGTGAATTTTTCATTTGCATCTGAAGAGACTCCATTTGTGTAGTCACAGAGATGTGATACTTTTGTCATTTTCAGAACCAAACATCTTATCACATCCTCTGACACAAAACTCATATATAAACTCAAGTTATAAAAAGTTTATACAAGTAGCTACTAGGTGAGTAATGTGAAAAATAGACAAAAAGAATGAAAAGAAAAATAAATAATTGTCATTGGATAACATGTCTACTTTATGTGATATCTGAAGGTCATCTGACTCAAAATGTATTTATTCTACTGATGTTTGGGTCTGAATTTCCCTCAATATCAAATTAACGCTATCTTTAAAATAAGCAATTAGACTCATGCTACCATGCGGATAACTTGTCCTAAGTTGTAAACTAATAATACCAGGGCTGGATTCAAGTCCAGCAGGTTAAGTTCCTAAAAATCATGCTCTTCTGCCTCTCAGAAGGCAGAGGGGGAACAAGACGTCACAGAGTGTCTACACTTTTCAGAGGTATAGTGAGATAATTGGTATATGTAGATGGTATATGTAGCTGACTCCAGATCCTTTGGTGAAAGCAAGTTGGGTCAGGTTTAGGGCAGAAATCCTAGACCTAAGAGGAAGATGAGGGAATAGAATTTCTAAGACCATCCCAGCAACACAGAATCCTGACGCTTTACCATCACCATGACTATTTTCCACAAAAAAACAAACCAAACTCACTACCATAGAGGTAATTCCAACTCGTAGCAACCCTCCTTGGGTTTCCAAGACTATAAATCTCTCCCCATCTTCCTTCTGCAGAGTGACTGGTGGGTTTGAACTGCTGCCCTTCTGGTTAGCAGCCAAATGCATTACCCACTACACCACCAGAGCTCCTTTATGACTATCTTTAGGGGGAGCTATAATCACAATAATGGTAGTGATGGCATCCACTATTATGTAATGATTTTCAAGGACCTCTGAGGTCAATGTAGCACCAGAATTATCTCCACAGCAGAGATAGGAAATCTGAAGGACAGCATTACAAATGACTGTAAGTGGTGCCTCCTCTCAGCTGAATTCCCCTACTCTTGCAACACTCAGGAAACCCAAAAATGTGAAACACTGGCCACAATAATCCTGTTTGTACAGGACAGAATATTTTCAGTCCTCTGAGCACCAAAAAGTGAAAATTCTTTCATCTTCTTCAAGGTGCTCCCTTCCCTTCAGCTCTATGTCTAAGGCAGGCAAAATAGGCTCACTTGGCCTCTGCCAAGGCCCTCATCCTCCCTGAAATTCAGCATTCTCTTCCCACAGTAATCCCACATTTGCCAGGTGCTTGGGTCAAGAGATACTGACAATTGTCAGATTTCAAGGAACCAAAGACCTTGGAATGAGACAGCCCACCCTCCTACGCTTCACCCAAATTCCCAATGTCTCACATCTTTCTTCAACTTAAATGGCCTGCAAATTACCTCACTTGAACTTTTTGCCAAATCCCTGATTGTTGTGTTGTTGTTGTTGTGTGCCATTGAGTTGGACCTGACTCATAGTGACCCCTTCTTGGGTTTCCGAGGCAGTATCACTATGGAAGTAGATTGCCCCATTTTCCTTAGAAGAGGTTAATAAAGGCAGTGTAAAACAGTGGGGTTTGGTATAAAAGAATTCTCACCTAGAGGTTGGATTCATTAAGTTTTTTTGAGATAGCTTTTGCAAGGTCCTGAAAAATGAGAAGCTGGTGGCAAACTACTGGACTAATCAGTTGAAATAGTTTCCACCTCCAGCATCTAGGTGTATGTGTAATCATATAAAAGCAATAATAGTAGTCAGTGGTAAATATGAAAAGCAATGCTAGCTAGTATTTATTGAATGCTTAGTCTGTTCCAGCACTGTGCTTAATCACATTAAGTCCTCACAACATCCTATTATCATTTTATTTATACTATTATCCTCATTTTAGAAGTATGGCAAGTCCCTTGCCCAAGGTCACACAATAAACAGGTGGCAGATTTGTCTGATGCCAAGGCTGCTGCTCTGATCCACTCTGCTGAACTGTCTCCTAGCAGCCTTTGTAACACTGGTCTGGGAATTAGAAGCACACGAGTGTGAGTTGGCTACAGGTATTTCCCTCCTTCCACTGACCCCAGCGCTAACAGCTAAAGCAGTCAATGATAAAAATAGCTATTTAACTCTTAAATCTTTCAATAGCAGCAACCATGCAGTCCATGTTTCCTGCATAGGGCACCAAGTTCTACGTAACTGCCAGGAGGTCTGGTCTCCATTACCGAAAATGCTCCAACTCCTCGTCTTCACACTGCCGGCTTTCTGATGTTTCTCCAACACAAGATTTCCCTCCCCCACTGGGAGGTGGGTTATTGCATTCTCGGCTCCTCGTTTTCTTCCCTTGAACACAGGGGCCCCAAGAGGACCAGCAACTCCAACCTCCATCCACCCCTCCTGTAAGGTAAGAGAGGTTTTTCAATAAGTACTGGGAGAGGCGGATTCCAAAGCTTAGTTCTATGCTTACTGCTAAAACCTTGGAGATTTAATACCTTCACTCTGTTCACTGGAGTTTTCTAGAATGTCCAGACTGTCTCTACACACATCCATATTAAGGCTGCATTAGCATCCTTCTAGCAATAATGCAACTCTTTCAAAGTACTTTAATGGACATTGTGTCATTGATTCAATTCTCACAACAATGAATTGAGGGGAGCAGGAGATCTGTTGTCATCCTCATTTAAGAGATGAGGAAACTAAGAGTAATTGACTAAATACCATGCCCCTTGGGGGGACAAGAAGGAGCTCTGGTGGAGGAGTGGCTGCTAACCAGAAGGTTGGTGGCTTAAGCCCACCAGCTGCTCCATGGGAGGAAAAGGAGGAAATCCACTTCCATAAAGATTTGCAGCCTTGGAAACCCAACTGGTGTGGGAACGAACTTGATGCCAGTGGATTTAGTTTTGGTTTTGGTTTGTGAGGACAAAAGGGAATTTGCATCCCATTCTAAGAGGCTTGCTTTCCTAGTTAGAAAGTGATTTCAGAATCCATTCCCCAAAGCATTATATCCTGGTAGTAGATGGCTGTGTTAATGCACCCTAACTCTTTCTATATTGTGTAACCCACATCCCTCTTTTCCATTTAGTTCATATCCTCTCCTCAGTATCACACACCAAAACTAAGTTAGATATTTTTGTATGCCCTTTCTTACACTGTCATAATTAGAAATTGATTTAATAAAGTAGTTCCCTGAGTATATTAATTTTTAAAAGGTTTCCATGGGTCAATTCTGACTCATGGCCGCCCCAGGTGTGCAAAGTGGAATGCTCCTGAGGGTTTTCATGGCTATGACATTTTGGAAGCAGATAGCCAGACCTTTCTTCCAAGGTACCTCTGGACGGATTCAAATTTCGGTTGGTAGTCAAATGATTAATGGTTTTCACTACCCAAAATATTAATTGTTGTTGTTGTTTTTATGTGCAATCAAATCAAACCCAACTCATAGCAACCTCTCCTTGGGTTTCCAAGGTGGTATCACCAAGTAGATTGTCCAACCTTCCTTCCGAGGAGTGGCTGTTGGGTTTGAACCGCAAGCCTTCTAGTTAGCAGTCCTCACTGGCATTGAGTTGATTCCAACTCATAGCAACCCCCACTGGGTTTCTAAGGCTGTAAGTTTTTATGGAAATAAATCACCCCACCGTCTTTCTGTGGAGCAACTGATGGGTTTGAACCACCAACCTTCTGGTTAGCAGCCAAATGCCTTGTCCATTATACCACCAGAGGGGGATAATAATAGATGCTTTAGTTTTCTAGTGTTGCTCTAACAGAAAATACCACAAGAGTATGGTTTTAACAAACAGGGATTTATTCTCTAACAGGTTAGGAAGCTAGAAGTCCAAGTTTAAAGTGCCAATTCTAAGGGACTGGGTGAAAACCCCTTGACCTTGAGCTTCAGCTCTACCTCTTGCTCCAAGCCCACTAAAGCTGGAGGCTTTGCTCAACTCAGATAGCTTCTGGCTGCTGAGGCTGACAAATCCTAACTCAACAAGGAAAATGGCATTACCAAGCAACACAGCAGACCACTACTTCAAGTCCAGAAACAGTCTCAAGATCAGTAGACAACATGGCAGGCTGCTGAATGAAGACTCAGCCAAATGCAGAATCCATATGTGCCAAAAAGCTCAGGGACCTTTCTCAAAGCTTTTTCTTATATACTGGAAGCAGAACATGTCCCTAGGGCTCACAGTAGATTCCACCATGGAGTTGTTTACCAGTCCCATCATGGGGAATAACTGCATCCAGCTGCCCAGCCACTCAAAACCAGACCCGGCCAAGTTGATACATAACCTTAACTACCACAATGGGTTAATATGTTGTGATTACTATCCCAACACTTACTAGTTAGGGGTACTTTCATTTTAACAAATAACTGGAAATCCAAGTCACAAAAGAATGGATCACAAGACAGGTAATATATTTTGGGGAGATATTTAGGAACAAAGATGCCTTCCTGATGTTTTCCATGTTGTTAGTTTCCATCAAGCTGATTTCAACTCATAGAGACCTCAGGTACAACAGAACAAAACACCGCCCAGTCCTGTTTGTCTATAAGAAACCTTAATTCAGTCATGTACTCATTAGTCAAACATTCATTTAGTAGATTCTATGAATCAAGCCCTATGTTATGAAAGACATCAAAGACATGTTATATAAACAAAGGCATCAAACAACCATGAAGGAATGAGCTTTCTAGTGAAGAGAAACATATAAATAAATATAAAAGCATATTTTGCCTACTCATAAATTCAACTTCACCTAGCCCTGTACAAAGTGCTTGAAGCACAAGCACACAGTTGAGCACACAGCAGATGTTCCACAAATATTTGTGAATGAGTGATTGATTTTACATGGCACAAAATAAAAATAAAGATGCTTCAAAGAGTTTACCATCAAACAGTTGGGCAAGGCAGACATAAGCTCTAGAGAACTATGAGAGGACAAAACCCTAATGAGAGACTACAGAAGGATAGAAGATGTTTTAGGGATGGTTCTGTTTTACTGATGAATAGGAAGTAGAGGCCATGGTGATTTTGTTCAAACAGGAAACTAGAGAGACAGCAAGGAGTCTTGACCACAGTAGCTGCAATATGGACGTGGTGAAGGGAGAGAAACACTAAATTCAAATGACCAGTGAGACTTGCATCTCTCTGTACACAGAGGTGCAAAATCTCAGGGGTCACAGAAAACAGGCCATGCCCATTCCAATGTGCCCAGGCTGATCAGAGACAATCCAATGCACTGACCTGCCTGATTCCCTGCTAGGACTCCTTGCTCACACGCTACACCAAATGTGTATGGCTTGCAATGGCACTGACACTGGGTCCCCTCAACAATGGCCAGGCCACCATTTTGACAAGGCCGACAATGGCAGGGGTCAAATTCATCCAGGTATTCCTCCAGAGCCCGTTTCAGGTACAGTCTTTTAACAGAGGCACAGGGCACTTCCTTTACCAGCTCATATAAAGGTGTCAGCTGTAAAGAAAAGGATATCACAGTCAGCAATCAATGCTTTCAGCACACACATTTTCCTTTTGGCATTTAGGCTCAATTTCCATTAAAACAAAATCAGAATATTCATTCCTAGTGTTTCTTGTTCAAATAGAAGTTCACTCTCCCTGCAATAAAATCAAAACAAACCTAGGGAAAAATCAGAATCTGATAAAGGAGACATATTTTTTATACATATAAATTAAAGGGGGAAAAAAAGACATTTATTTTCCAGATAATGAAAGATTATTTTGAGGACATTTCCACTGCAAACGAGAACAGACAAAAAGGAAATGTCCCTAAACTCCAGTGCACCTAAAGAAGAAAATGCAATTAAACTTAAGACCACATTTCCTAAATTTGAGAAGCTTAGCATATCTCTCTAGTGGAGACCATGGACTCTATCCTCCTGGAGAAATTTTTAAAAGGTAGACAGTACTGTTCTGTGTTGGATATTTCAGGTGAAAAGCATCTTCACAATCATAGATATGCTGGAAAAGACTTCAACAGCCTCCTCTCTGAGGAAAAAAGAGGCTCCCTTTTGCAGTGTTTGGCAGTTTTTGCAGTGTAACTACTCTCACCATGGCTAATTTCATGCCACCACCACAATGTTGCTGAACATAGAGTTAGGAGATGGGAACAATTAACTTGAGAGAAAGTCAGTACAAGCTGAGCTGGCTTCAGCACACCACCGTGAGTAATGAACATCAACTCAGAATCAGGCAAAGTTCCGTCTTCGTCCAAGATCTTCTGAACAACGTGGCTTTGCATGGTTATTTATATAACTGCATACTGTCTTTTCTTTGTTCCTTTCCTGCCCAGCTACTATAGTTACAGTCTTGTGTATAACAGTGCATGTTGAGAATGGAAAAGAATGTCTCTTTTTCCCCAATCAACAATTTAGAATTTTTAAAGATTTGCATAGGACATTGACCAGGCATGTAGACCATGTTGAATATTAAGCCTTCTCAGAAAAAACTCTGCCTCCCATCTTCACTCATATTTGGAGGCAAGTGTGTTCGGTATTGCATTGTTGTTGTTGTTGTTGTTATGTGCCATCGAGTCAGCTCCGACTCATAGCAACCCCTCCTTGGGTTTCTGAGGCAGTATCACATTAGGTGGTGTATTTAAGGAGCTATTGTAATTTTTAAGTTTATAAAGAGTGCCCATTGGAGACTTCCAGTAAGATGGCAGAATAGGCAGACAAACTACACAGACCATCTTCAACAAAGAAAAGGGAAACCAATTGAGAGATACAGCAAATAATCCTGGCGTCCTGAGCTTAGGCACCAACTAGTGGAAAATCTGAATGAAAACAGGACCTAAGAACAGGCTCCATTTGCCAAGGATGACAGGGACATACGGGAGGCAGACAACAAGAAAGGAGACAAGTGGTGAGTGTATAAGTGCTGCCAGCTAGCAAATAGAGGAGTACAGCACAGTACTCTGCTTACATAGATAGCATGCAAAGGAAACGAAAATCGTGGGCAAGTCACTCCAACATACAATCACCAATTAAATATAAACACAAAAACGTCACAATGCGTCAGAGACAACAGAGCATCATAGTCCACACAAAGAAGCAAAATACAGCAGGAGAAACAAGGGAC